ACTTATGTGTATGTGTGTATGTGTGTGTTCTTGTGTGTGTGGATGTGTGCACCAGTACTTGTATGCGTGTTAATGTGTATGTGCATGTGTATGTGCACGCGTACTTGTGTGCGTGTTTACTTGTGTATGTGTGTGTGCGCGCGTATGTGTGTGTGCCCCTTTCCGTCCAAGCATGTGTTCTGCACAACGGACTGGGCATGTGCGTGTGCATGCTCCTGCATGTGATTCCATGCGTTCATTCCACCCAATGCGCCTTGTGCTCACGCACGCTCACCGCTGGCTGCGACCACTGCACGGCAGGTGGGAGGCCGGGAAAGTGATACTGTTTGATGACTCGTTCATCCACGAGGTGTACCACTTTGGCACGGAGCCGCGTTACGTGCTGTATTGCAGCGTGTGGCACCCCGACATTGCCCGCGCACATCAGCTCCTCACCAACAACGGCAGTTAACGAGGCGCCCTTGTTGCTGCTGCTGCTGCTGCTGCGTAAACAACATACACACTGTTATTAACTCGACGCGCTTGTACAGACACACCGCTTTTACATCACGTGTTGGTGCAAGGGTGTTGTGTTACTTCTAGTGTACACTGCGAATAATTAACATCAAGCAATATGGGAAGCACAAGCAAGCGTGGAGCAAGGAGGGGCAGAAGGTGGTCAAAGGGCAGGGCTGGCACAGAAGCACACAAGAAGCAATGCCACAGCACAAGAAGGCACAAAGGAAGAGAGACGTGTGGTGTGCATATCAATCGTGATAGCAGCTGTCCACACATGCAGGGGATATGAACAGGGTGCAAGACAGGGAACTCAACAACATGTGTGCGTATGTGCGTGTGTATGTGTATGGGCATAAATACGATGATGGCGACACATTGGCCCACAACGACGAGCGGCAAAGAAGAGAGGACAGCTGGCCGTGTGGCCGTTGCAAATAATAAGAGACAGCGATGTGGCTACGATGCGTGTGTGTGGTTCAAGCTGGTGGAAACGTCTGGGTTCAGAGACAGCCGCTCTTGCAGCAGTTGAATCTGTGTACATTCATGCCAATGCGGGTTTGTGGGTGAGGGTGCAGAGGTGAGGACGAGCCAGAAAGCGCTTCAATTGCGCAGTAGAATGTGCGGCAAAGAGCGTGCATTGCATGTGCACCGTGCGTGTTACCTGCTGTTGCAGGGCGGTGATGGTCTTCTCGTACTGTTCTTTCACATCTCGCGGCAAATATCCCTGCTCAGCAAAGGCAAGTAAGCAAGCAAGCAAGGCCATTAATCAGCAGTGTGTAGTGATTGGAAGGATAACAAGAAAGCAGCCACGCACGGATACACAAACAGAGCCAAGGGTGTGGGTAAGAGATTATGCAGAGAGCCAGTTGCACACAATGCACACACACACACACACACACACACACACACACACACACACACACACACACACACACACACACACACAAAGGCACGGACCTCCAGCGCATCTTGCTGCTGCAGTTGAGCGTTTGCGAGGCGCCGCTCAAACTCAAACTGGTAGAAATAAGAGAGAGAGAGTGTGTGTTTGTGAAGGGGCAGCAGGGTTGAGTGCATGAGTACACGGTGTGGCTGGTTCTGCACCGGGGAAAGGGTTGGGTGCTCTCACCCTCTCACAAGGGCAATCAGACACTAAAACAAACACACACACACACACATACAATCAAGGGACCTTGAGTTTGCGGATGGTGTCTCTAGCGACGTGGATGTGCTGCCGCTCCTGGGCAAGTTGCTGGCGATACGCCTCCACATCTTTATTGTATGCCGTGCGAAGCTCATGCATTTCCTGCACGCCACCATCACCGCAGCCGATGCGTGTGGACGAACGTGGTCGAGTGGATGAGAACAAGACAAAATAGGACATGGGTCACCAAGAATCAACCAGCACGCGCATGCACGCGCAAGCACGTACCTTGTGATGGCGGTCAACCAATGCTTGTCTATCTTTTGAGAAGGTTGTTTGTTGTGTTTGGAGCTGCGCAACGGCCTGCTGCAGCTGTGCCGTCACCTGCGACCAGCAAACACCCAACATGTCAACGTGTGTGTTTGTATGCGTGCGTTGTATGCGTACGTGTATGCACATGTTCGCGCGAGAAACAACAACCACTACCACCACGACAAGGGACACCACTACCACCAGCAGCACCACCACCACTACCGAGCACCGCCACCTTTTCGTATTCGGATCGCCAGCGGTCTTCCACGCGCCGCACTTGGTCCTCGGCATCTCGCACGAGCGTGTCGCGGTGCTGCTGCACCTCCATCTGTGCGTATGACAGCGGTTGCAATGGCAGTGCACCGACACATTGAGAGAGGCATTGGCGGTAGATGAAGGCAAACATGGGTATATGCATCAGCGCAACACAGACACGCACGCACAAACAGCCATATCCTCCCACTCCATGCAGTGTGTGTGTATGTGTGTGTGTGTTTGTGTGTGTGTGTGTGTGTGTGTGTGTGTGTGTGTGTGTGTGTGTGTGTGTGTGTGTGTGTGTGTGTGTGGACTAACGGTCATGTCCGATCGGAGCTGTTCGCTGAGGCGAAGGGCGCGCTGCTCGGCCTGGTCCAGCTCCCGCCTGTGGTCCGTCTGCATCTGCGACACCTCCTGTGACGACGACGATGGAGATGATGGCGATGACGACATGGCGACGGTGTTGGTGGTGGTGGTGGTCGTGACGGTGGTGAGGGCAAGGCAAGTCAGCAAAACTACGAGTTCATACATGGCAGATGAGAGGCAGTGTCGCTATTAGCAATCGTGAAGACAGCGCACCTCGTCCCGCGCAGCCGCCAGCTCCATCAACTGCTGCCGGCGAAGCGCATCCAGTTCCCGCAACTGTTACACACACACACACATACACACACACACACGTGTGCAAGGAGAGGTGAGCACAGCTGGTGAGCAGGCATGACAAGTGTACTCGAAAGCAATTTAGGGGGCGTGAGTGTGATTGTGAGTGCACACGTGTGTTTGCGCGTTTCCGCAACAGGTGATTGGAGTGTGGTTGTGCGTACCCGCTGCTGCAGACTTGACACCTCCTGCTGCGCGCGCTGTCGACTCGTCTTCAGCTCCGCGCGCAACTCCTGCAGCTCCTGCAAGCACACACACGTCGTGAGTTGGGGGTGAGTTGGGGTGAGTTGGGGCGAGTTAGTGACGGGGTAATGTGCGCGCGTTTGCACGGGTGCTTGTGGGCTGTGTGCTCTGCTTTGTCGTGAGCAATCTCGTCTTGCAGACCACAGCACATCCGTGTGCATACATGCCGAACACCACTCACATCATCGTGCTGGTTGCCGACGGACGCGAGCGTCTGCGCGTGGGACTGTCGCTCCTGCTCAAATCGCTGCTGCAGTCCTTGCAGCGCACGCCGCGCCGTCAGCACCTCTTCCTTGAACTACCAAAACAAAAATGCAGCAATCGGCAAGGGAGAATGAGAAGGGAGGGTTGGTTGCGCGAATGGGGAAGACAGAACCACGGGAGCTGTGTTGAGCGAGAAAGCAAGAACTGGTGTTGCATCCACACGAATCGTGCAAATACGGGGACGCATGAAGGTCGTCACACACAACACAGCAGGCAGACAAATAAACAGACAGACACACACAGACACATAATACATACATACACACAGACACATACATCAACACCCCACTCTACAGCTTGTTACCTTCTGCGTGCGTTCGACGTGTTCCCTGTGGATTTTCTCGAGCTGGCGATCAAACTCTGCCTGCAGTTTTGTCTTGAGGTTCTGGTTCTCGACGGCAGACTGCGAGCGAAGCGTCTCCACCTGCCGATTCCGCTCGGCCGCCATGCGTGACAGCGCCTCCTGCACAACGCACCGGGGCACACACACACACACACACACACATACGCAGACACACGCACACACAAACACACATACGCAGACACACACACACACACGCACGGACACAAACACAGCTGTGAGCAGGGCAGTGAACAATGAATGACGACAGAAGGAGATACAAGCACACATGCAGCCGCCAGCAGCACGGATGTGTGTGTGTGTGCATGCATGACAAACCTCGGCCTCTGTTGCGCGTTTCTCTGCTGCTGTGATCTAAGGGGCGCGAGCAAGCAAGCAGGCAAGATATCGACGTGGTGAGTGCATACCAAACCTAGCACATGTACACGCATGAAGCGATGTGCACAGGAACACACAGACACACAGAGACACAGGCACACACACATACACACAAGAGCAATCGTGCAGGCACACAAGAGGTGCCACAGGCAACCAGGGTTATACCTTTGCTTTCAAGCGAGTTCGTTCGTGCTCGTGTGCACGCGCGAGTTTCTGCCGCTGCTGTGCCAGCGCTTCCTTCCTTCGCTCCTCCTGCTCAGGCGAACAGGGGTTTGCGGTGTCGTGACTTCACACCAATATGCGGCGAATGTGGCACCAAAATGACAGGCATAGGTGGACATACACACACACACACGCACTTACCATGGTTGCGATGTCTTGCTGGTGGTCTTGGAGGAGGTGGGTGTGTTCTGCGTCAAGGCGCTGTGTCTCCTTGTGCAGCTTTGCCGCTTGCTGCTGCAGTCGCGAAACCTCAGCCTCCAGCGCACCCCGCTCCGTCTCGTGGTTCTCTCGCAGCCTGACCACACACACACACACACACACACACACACACACACACACACACACACACACACACACACACACACACACACACACACACACACACACACACCCGAGTCCGAGAGGATTGGAAGGCCTGTCAGATACATGGTTGCACAAAGCAGCGCACAACAAAACTGATACATGAACAACAGCACGTGCGAGTGGTTGACAGCATGGGTTGTGCCGTACAGGTGTGTCTCGCGGGTGTGGTCGCGGGTTGCAGCCTCAAGCTGCTCCTGCAGTGCATCTGCACGCGACTGCTCTTCGTGGTGCGCCTGGTGCAGCACAGCGCAGACCATGTCGTGTGTTGGGCGAATGAGGCGATGAATGGGGGAGAGTTGGTAGAGCGGGGTGTAAGGTTGAAGGTGCATTTTCCACAAAACCGCACACAGAAGCAGCCATACACGCAAGCAGATGCACACACATCTGCACGATGACAGGTGTACGGATAAACGGATGCATCGGGAGCAATCAGGTTACACAGCCAGCGCTGACCGTCTTGAGAGCGTCGTGTTTGTGCTGGAGGTCGAGCAGCTGCTGTTGAAGCGTCTGCGCATCGCGCCCGCTCGTGTTGAGCTGCGAGTTTTCCCGCCGCAACTTGTCGACGCTCTCCTGCAGGTCCAGCGTCTGTTGCCGCAGCGCCGTCACCTGCACGCAGCGGGAGAGCGAGCGAGCAAGTGAATGAGTGAGTGAGTGAGTGAGTGAGTGAGTGAGTGAGTGAGTGAGAGTGAGTGTGTGCGCGTGGTGAGTGAAGGATCATCCATCTACGGTGCATGTGCAAGTCCAAGCATCACCTGTGCTTGCAAGCTCTCCACTTCAATGGATTTCTTCGCCAGCTGCGACTCCTTCACTTGCAGTTGCTGTGGAACACAATCGCATCGGTTGTGCGCGTGAATTACAAACGGGGAGTCGGCGCGAGAACATGATACGGCCGCACGAGGAAGAACACATACGCACACACACACGTACACATGCACATGTGCACACACACACACATACGCACACGCACAAATGCACACACATACACACACGCACCCACCTGGTCTTGGTGTCGGATGTGGTCCTCAAGCTCCCGCACCACCAGCGCAAGCGTCTCTGACGAAATGGTTGCACGTGTGCGAATGGTTGCAGGTGTGCGTGTGTGTGTGTGTTTGTGTGTGTGTTTGTGTGGTTATGCATAGGAGTGAGGAGAGGGATGCAATTGCAGTTGACAGCACGCGTGGATGTTACACATTGTCACGCACACGCCAGCACATGCGCCACAGGAGACGCACGTTGGTTGTTCTGAAAGTCCTGCTCCAGCTGCTTGATGTGGCGCTGCGACGCCTCGTTCAGCCGCTGTCACGCAGTGCAGGCGAGAGTGGAGCAGGTGCGCAGGTATGAGTGGTGCGAATGAACGTGGTGTGTAGGTGTGTACGTGTCTGTGCGTGTGTTTGTGTGTTGAAAGGGGACATGAGGCACGTGTGCAGGACGGTGTATTGACAAACGCACGCGCTGGTCTTCCTCCTTCTGCTTCAGGTGCTCGCTTCGCTGTTGCAGCAGCATTTCCTCGTATTTTTGCTTCATGGCCTGGTAAGACGCAGCGGACGCGGATCATGAGGGCAGGGTTTAAATAAACCACAGCCACGAACAAAGACAGGTGGATGGGCAGGTATGCATGCAAGCAGACAGGCAGACAAGCGAGTGGACACTGACGTGCTGTGTGCGGTCGGCGGCTGCGCGGATTCTCTCCATCTCGGCCTCTCGCTCGAGCGCCGTCTCCTTCAGCTACACAACGACGATGATGACGACGACGACGATGGCGTTGTTGTTGTTGTTGTTGTTGTTGTTGTTGTTGTTGCGAGAGCGTAGATGAGTGTGGCGATTGCAGTGAGTGATGTGTGCACGCGTTTTGTACAGACGGTGTTTGACCGACAGGAAGCAGCAGCGGCGCATGCGCAGCGCGAAGCAAGGGCAAGAAGGTGAGTAGCAGACCTGGTGTTGGAGTTGGTTGACGGCCGTGTTGAGCGCCTTGAGCTCGTGCTCATAGTGTACCTTCAGCTGTGCCATCTCCTCCTGACACACACACACACACACGCACACACACACACGCACACACACACACACACACACACACACATACATACATCCAGCCAGCCGTGCAGCAGCACCAGCGACGGATATCCATGTGAGCAGGCGTCAAAGGAGCAGCAGGTGCGCGCACGACAGCAAGAACAGGTGGTGCATTCAACGGCACCCACCGCTCACCATTACACATCACTACACATCAATCCACATCAATCTACATCATCACACACCACAGCAGACCATCACACACTGCGGGACATCACAACACCACCTTGTGAATGCGTTTAAGCTCGTCCAGTGTGGTTGCGCTGAGCATGGACGAGGACATGTGGTACAGCCGAGATGGCGGTGGGGAGACGTTGAGCAGGTTTGTTGAGGAATGCTCCTCAGACAGCATGGTGCCGTGGCCGCGACCGTGGCCCAGCCCAGGCGATGATGTTGTGAACGCGGAAGCGTCGTGTCGGGGCTTGGCTGCCCATGGGTCGCCGCTGCTGCTGTTTGCAGAGGTGTGTTGTGCTGGCGAGCGCTGGTGGAGGCTGAACGGCTGAGTTGGCGCCGTGGCGTGGCTCGGGGGTGCGAGGTGTGCAGAGGATGGCACGCTTGCCCACGCCACCTGAAACGCTGTTGGGTGTTGTTGCTGGTGCTGGTGCTGGTGCTGTTGTTGTTGTTGTTGTTGTTGTTGTTGTTGTTGTTGCTGCTGCTGCTGCTGCTGTTGTTGTTGTTGTTCTGCCGTTTGTTGCGGATGCTGTTGCTGGGGGTGGTCGTAGTGGTGTGGTTCAGG